CCTCCAGAAGCGCCATTCTCATAACTCCAGGAGGAGGCAGCAGCTGTGGATTCAAGCTCTGACCTGGCTGACACGATCCTTAGACCATACTGCTTCCAAATCTACCAATCCGAATGTACAAGGTACTCCACATTCCAACAATATTCGGTGATGTACTAATTTATTTATTTGAGTATTTGTTTGTTTGGCTGTGAAAAGCATGAACAGTACCTCATCGTGCGTGTTCAACGAGCTCTTGTCGGCGATTGTGGAGAAATTGCAGAATTTCGGTGACAGTACATACTCTTCGTTCTGTGAAGCACCTTCAATGGCCATAGCTACGTAGTCCTCCATGACCAACCTAAATGTAACTGTTTACTCGAGTAAACACTAACAATATCAGAATAGCGACTTCCGAGCAGATCATGAATATACAGATTGTCTGCGAAGTACACATGAATACATAGGCATACTTGTTGTGGTGTTAAGAAGGCAACTATGTTGGAATAGCGCACTCCGCGGAAGCGCAAGGGGCGTGACCGTCGCGGTTTCGGGATCGGCAACATGCCGTTCATTCCCTGACTGTTACAATCAACAAAATAATGCTAAAATCGGGCATGGTGTTCCTTCATTACAGTAGGTGTACGAATTCCATGCAAGAGTCTCACCTCCATAGTTTCCCAATGTGGAATTACTGAGAATGATGGGAACAATTTTTTTTGCAGAAATCCTTGTCAATTACCTACTTGTTCATAGAAAATCTTTTTTAGGTAACCCACCCGAAGGTATTTGCCCGTTTTCTCATGATCGTTGGCTCTCAGGGTCTTTTTAATCCTGAACGATAGTTCAGTCCCTTACAGGAGGCATAAATTGAGCGTTGGTATACCGCACTACATAAAAAAATTATTTTACACCCATGAAACATCAGAATAGACCGGACATGACGAGCTGGGGACTATAATCCGGAAATTCGAAATAGGCACGGAAAAGAGGTTTGCAGATGGATGCAAGAGGTCTATTGAACCCGCAGGTCGCAATAGTTAGAAAGTGATTTGGGATACCAGTTGAGTAGAACCGGACCTAAGCGAAATATTTTCAGACCAACACATCCCCCTTAGCTTATGTCCCCAAGTTGTAGCGATAATGTCTGCTTATAAAAGAGTGTCTATTTATAAAAGAGTGAGTGTAAGGAGTCAAAGTGTAATTGTAGCTACCTATGCTCTTTGGGTATCAGCTAATTAATTACCATTGAGTAATACCGTAATTTATCACCACCTACACTGTAACTGTTAGGCGTTCCGAATAGAGTGATAAAAATTGTGAGGAACTTCGGTTCAACGTCATCTTTCCCGGTATCAGCTGTCTGATTCAGCACGTTATAGTCAAGGTGCTGATAAGCTGCCGTCAAGAGTTACATGAAAAATGATGGAAGACCATGAAGTTCAGTAGCTAAAAGCCTGAGCGTAATACAGAAGAAGCTTATACTTGGGTGGGAGCCCTTCTCGGAACCAAGTTGGAGACCAAAAATCAGTTCCTATGACAACAAAAGAATGCCCTTTATGTGGCGCATTTCTGGCAACACCAATGACTGACAGAGACAATCACAACAACAATGGCAGCATTTTATGGAAATGAGAAGAAGCCTTTTTGTAGGAGTATGGGAAATGAGGTGAATTGGAACTTAGAAAGGTCGTGATCAAAAATTTATCGCTGAAGGGACGTTAGGCTCGGATAGAGCGCGGTGAGACAACTATCCAAGAACTATAGCCTTTTGGGCCGGTCATGCAAATCATCAAGGAGTCGACTGACTCATAGTGTTAGATGACGAACTTTGTTCACTTTCTACTTACTTGTTTGTTTATTTAGGTATTTATTTATATACTTATCTATCTATTGCTATCCGTATATAGTTGCTGTAACCGCAACACCTTCGGCCAAACTGCTTGAGAGTTCCTAGATTGGGGCTGAATCTCTTATAAGGGTTCTACCGGCCCGGGGCCCGTGAAAAGAAGATGATGGACCTGAAAGCACTCACGTGAAAATATCATTGGCCAGCTCAAAATGACTTGAAACGAAAAGAAGCACGACTATATCAAGCGTGCACAACGAACGGTGAAAAAGTCGTTAACTTCAAAGAATATTGCTTCTTCTTCTTATCGCACGACGACCCTGTTCCGATCGAAGACTATGACTGTTAAATGCCATAATTGTGAGTCATTTCTAAAAGATTCAGCAAGAATTTCCGTTAATTGCCTCAATGTTACGTGGTTGTTATGAAATTATGAATTCTAATCAGATGCCCTATTTGGTATCCTTTACCGTAACACTGAGCCAGGGTGAACTCAGCTAAACCCCACCCACGGACGTGTACATGAATGAAGGTTCTTCTCGAAACAATCCTCACCGTTGTTCAAAAATGTTCTAGATACCGAGGAAAGAAGTGGTCCGAGACCATGAGACTACCAAAAACAATGCACTCAAGTTGGGCGGGCAAACGGGCGGTGCATGCACGAAAGTGGGCGGAGCTATCATCTAAAATTCATATCTCTATTCGAAAATGTCCTAGACGTAGGAAAAAGGGTAAGAAACAGTCGAAGGAATTGGGCAATTTCCCGTATAGGGCGGAGCAGAATTCAAAATTACGTGTGTTCAAAATTGTCCTAAAATTCTCGAAAAGTTTGCTAGAGGCTATAAAGAGAAAGGTGCTCTGTATAGTGCGGGGCTTAAATCCAGTATCCAGAACATTGTCAAAAGGTTCCCAGGATTATCACCGTTACTTATTGAACATATTATGCCTGTTCAGAGTGTTCCTTACTGTGATGCACGCGTTTATGTGTATAGCCCTAGGATCCTTTCGAAAAGGTTCTGAGTGCTGGATTTAAGCCCCGCCCACTATGCAGAACGTACTTTTGAATTAGCAGTGATACTGCCATTTCCAGCCAGATGTTCTTCTAGTATTATTCGAGGAAAATCTGTGTATGTTGCTTTTCGGAGAATGAATAAGGTTTGAGCAAGATGGGAAAATAGCGGCTCTGTGTCAACCAGATTGCTCATGGTTTCACATTGTCATCTCCATAAACATTCATGTAAAAGAGTGATATTGGTTACATTGATGGAATGCTTGCAATTTTTCGAATTCTTCATTCCTTTGAGTCAAAGTTTTGCGTTAACATATGCGAAAACAGATGACACACACCAATTTTAATTGAATATGATATTCAGCCGATATTCGCTTGGGCTACCCGAGCCCTACATAGCCCTGGGGCCGGTTAATTGCTACAAGACTCGACCGGGAGGATAAAAACACTGATTTGGCCTGGCCAACTGGCCAACGCAAGCCATTGCACAGGCTACATACGCATTTAAGATGCCACTGGGATTCTTAATGGAATTCGAAAGCAGGGCGCATCCCAAAGCAGGATTGATCATCGCCTACTGCGTACATACAATGACTCGCGGTGGCCAGCCAATGTACAAGTCAGTGCTTATCCTCCCAGACGAACCTGGAATTAGCTCATTGACAGTATAGAGATGGAATACACGGATATTGAGGACGAGCTTTGTTCCTTGGACCATGCTCGTAAACACGAGCTACTTGGCACTATCCCAACACAGCCCTATGGAGAATCGAAGTTCTGCTTTGAAATATTCGGAGCCATTCATATGTCAATCATTACAATCAGTCCAACTAAACTTTGACGATAATTCAGAGTTTCTGCTACGACAGCAAGCCCAGTTTTCATTTTTGTGCTCCTTGCACAGGTCATCCAGCTATTCCCAGAAGGGTGACCCTGATGCGAGCAAAAACGGCGTCATATTTGGGCGAACCTATTACAAATGGAAACATGTTTTTCCCTAGTTTAAGCCCCATGTAATCCAAAAAACTTCCCGGAGTTGAAAATAACTCTACGACCTTCTGAACAAGACTCTCGACCCAATTCTAAAAAACGACGTTCCTTTTGAAAGGCTGGAATGATCCCATTCGATGGTTACTGGCCTACTTGCATTTTCTCACTCATAACATCGAGTGGTCTCATTGTAGACTGAGTACGATCCCGAGCAGTCAGTGATTTCTTCTTTCCCATTCCCTCGCTCCTCCAGAGACCACTCGGCTGAGGTTGGAAGTTGAATACCACTTAAATAATCTCTGTGAGCAGTCGGATTTTTTTGCTATTGGAGCATGATAGTACAATGGGGCTCTGCTGCCCCAAACGTTCTCAGATCTGAATCCATGTTGGAGAATAGGCGAATAAGCGGACTTTCTCTTTTTACCGAGACTCTGTTAATTTGTATGAGAGTCGGTTGATTGAATGAAAGTGCTGATTGACTTCAGAAAGACATTGTATGAGGTCAACTGAGCATTCAAACGCCAATACGATTTTGAAGGGTAGTTGAATGCGAGGGTTCGCCACTAAAAACCCGCAATTTACGTGAATCATTCCTACAAGGCCAAGGAAAGCAACAACTTTGAACGATGAAGACAATATAGGAAGAAAGTCGAACGGTCTGGGAACATGTTCGAGACCATTGCGGGTACAGATGCAAGCAGCAGTCGAGATCAAGTGCTAGAAAACTTGTTAGGAGCAAAGGCGCGGTCTTTGAGATCCTATTGGGGGGACCGCCTAATCAGTAATCGGCAAATGACAAAGAGACAAAGCAACAGACATCAGACAATTCGCCTGGGTTGCGCCACGTACTCTTCTTCTATCGGTAACAGTGGGAAAGTTTGAATGGTTTGGGAAAGCCTATCAGTGCGCAGCTTCATGTTGTTCCAGGTAGTGCAACTTCACCAATACAGAAAAGATAAAAATCTTTTCAAGTCCAGGCGTTTTGGTACAGCAATACCTCCGAAGCTGAAGGTAAGTTTTCTGAATAAAATCGGTTGTTCGTTGAGATGTGGGGCACACATTTATGTATATAGAAACAAGGGAAGTCCTATAAAACAATTACATCTGATTGTCAAAAACACAAATAAAAAAATTCCCTCACTACTCCTGCATTCTTGAAGTGGATCCAAGTAGCTGATGGTATAACCAAGTGAAATTCAAAAAGGAAGCGACGTGACGTTAGGGACTTTGGAAGCTCAAGCAGCGCATGCCCTGAAGACTTCACCAGAGCACGAACACCCGACAATCACGCGGACGTCCGAGTATTCACCAATGTGGGCGGGAGGAACTGTTTATATGGGCGGAGCGAAGAGTGAAGTTGCGTGAGTACACAGACAATACGAAGGCGGCTATTTCTATTTCGGGACCAATAGGTGTAGCAGCACGCGTGAATGTGAAGAAGCAGAAAGCAATGATAAAAAGTTGCTCGAAGTGAATTCACAGCGTATACGGTAGGAATCGAAGAAC